TATCTGTATCTGTATCTGTATCTGTATCTGTATCTGTATCTGTATCTGTATCTGCATTTCATCATCTATCTCATCTCATATTTCTAGGGTATATCGCTCATTGTATATTACACAATAGCTGTATGATTTCATTTAATTAAATTCGGATTTCTTTTGCAGTTGAAGCCGCAGATGAGCCGAACGAGAATGAGAACGAGGACAATGCCAGCGAGGAGGATGTGGAGAACGAGGAGTTTGGCGAGCCAGGCAAGTGTTGAAAAACTGTGTGAATATACGAGAAATGTTTTCGCAACTAATGGCATTTGGGTGTCACATCGACTGCCCCGTTTCTTCTTCCCATTTCTAAAGCAGATAATGGACTTACGGAGAAAACGTTCAAATTTGAGGATTTCGCTCGCAGGTAAATTAGCAATGGCCACAAATGTCTCCCCAATTCCATTCAGTCCCAGCCGCAGGCCAATTTCTATTCCCATTCAGTTTTATTTTTTGTGGCCACATTTTATTGGTGTTATTTGAAAAGTTTCATTGATGGTCGTGCTGAAAATTGTAATTGTAATTTTAATTGAAAGGCAGCAAGCAAGTGGCAACGCACAGCTCGTGGCTACTAATTAAGGATTAGCGTCAGAAATTACTTGTGCCCAAAGTTTTATGGATGCCAAAAACTTGAATGCCGCGCGCACAGCTGCCGGTGGGAGGGGCTGTACTTCTAAATGCCCACAAACAGCAACAACAACAACAATTATATTATTTAATGGCGCTGCGGCTTGTATTTAAATTGTGCCATCATTATTGTTGCTTTTGGAAATGTTTTGGAAAGTTTTCGCTGCGGCTAAGCGCTCAAATCATAATTAGCTTAATTTTGCATAATTTAATTGGTGTCTCATCTCAGCATGGCTTTAATATATTGTTACTCAAATCGATCCCCCCCACACACACACACACAGACTGCTGCATCCGAAGATCGTGCGTGCCTGCACTATCGTCCTGACGGACTGGGCCCAGATACCGACGCGTGCGCTGAAGGCGGCTGTCACCATATTGCATCGCATCGCATACGGATGCTCCTGTCCGGGCATGCTCTACCAGGTGAGTGAACCAACTGTTTAAGGACTGCCGCCTGCTGTCTGCCTGCCTGCCGACTGCCGACTGCTGCCTGCTGCTTTTAATTCAGTTTTTGCGCCGAGACGCAGCTCTTGGCACATAAATCAAAGTCAAATGCAAAAAAGCCGCGCTGCGGCTCAGCAGCCATGACTCGGGCTACCGGGACTCTCCAGACTCCACGCTCTGTAGTCTCTAGTCTCGCGTTGTCCGTTGCCAGTCTAACTCGAAGGCGCCCGGTTTTTATTTTCGTCATCTGCTCCGCTCAGTGGCTTCGTTTTTATGGTAATTTGTACAAATTAAGCGAACCTTTTTTCTATTTGTGGCAACCACAAACGATATTTACTGCGCCTTCTTTGTATTTTTCAACGAGTTGCCACAACAGTCGGTGCCCCGCCCACTTTGGGTGCTTGTTTGTCCCATTTCGAAGCCCTTCTGCTGTCAGCTGGAATTTGAACTTTTTAAGCCCTTTACGCGCTGCCTTGAGCCCCTCAGCATTGCTTGGGTTTTACTTTTCAGCCACTGCCGCGTGTCGCCGTAGTGGGAGTAAGCGGCTGAGCGGCACGGAAATTAAGCATTTAAATATGCCTGTTTGTGTTGCCAACACAAGTTAGGGTATGCGGGGTATTTAGCCTGCAGATGTCGTACGAGCTGATAATGAGAAAAGGTAAGGGCTTCACGAAAATATATTCCAAAATATATTTTAGAATCGGTTCTTATGTAGACAAATATAGATGTTAAACAGTTAAGGTATATATTATATATGAGATATAAGATAATTTGGTGTCATGTTCTTATAGAGCACCTTTCATTAGGTACTACTATACTATATATGTACAGTCGAGCTTCGATAATCGAGAAACGCGATAAATCGAACACAAATCTATATCTATAAGAAATCAATTCTTAATAATTCGACAGCTCTCTCAATCAGGTTAGCTCGATATAAATTAAATGCCCTTGATATAACTTAATTGATAAATCGTTTTATTTCGATATGAATATATTTCTATCAATACAAAGCGATTTCTCATAACATAGTCAATACCTCTCTATGTAAATGAATTTCTCTTGATATAAATGAATATATCACAATATAAATCGATTCCTGTCGATATAAATCGGTTTCGCTAGACATAAATTGATTCCTCTCTTTCAGGTATCTAACTAAAAGATTTAAAGTTTTTTTTTTTCCTAGAGTATTTTGCTATTCGAATTGCTAAAACAACTTTTTTATTTCTTTTTGTTAGGCACATTACATATATATATTTATATATACTATTTTTTTTTTTGTGTGGCTCTTTTGTGCGCGTTGGCTGCTGCTGCTGCTTTTCACGGCTGGCAATTAAACTTTTCTTTGAGCAGAGTTCATAAATCACATTCAACGCCAGGCGGCGGTCGCGAGCCCTCAGAGGCAACATTATATAACTGGCTGGCTGGCAGCTTAAGCTGTATTTTGTAAGCGATATGCGCCTGATCACCAAAGTAGCCAACAAATGGCGCATTATGTGAACCGAATAGCGTCAGACATATGGGGAATGAGTTGACTTCAGCCTGGCTCTGCATATACCCTCTGCCAGCTTAGCCGGCTCTGCCGTCTATCGTCTGCCGTCTGCCGTCTGCCCTTGGCTGCTGTGAGGGGAGACATGTCCAGTGTCCATCAGATGTCTTGCTAGAGCTGAGGCTGGCTGAGGCAGGACAAAACAAGAGTGGCATCATATGCAAAGTCAAAACCACTAATGGGTCTGCGCAATCATAGGATAAATTAAATTTCAAATACGGCTGGGATGGGCGACTTCCAGCCAGGGCGAGCAACGATACACAATGCGGAGCAGGGCGTGCTTTGGGTTAGGGGTATGCAAGCGTTTATAAACTTTTGCCGACTGCAAATGATATCTTGCTTTGGCAGCAGCCGCAGGCACCGAACCGCAGGCGACAACCGCAGGATAGCAGTCGCCCGCCGTCCACCGACTCCCCGCCACCCCCTGAAGGACACCAGGCCAAAAGCTTTCGACTTGTGGCTAGTGTCTTTGTCGGCACTTTTCATTTAAATATGAAGTGACGTTCGTTGTCGTCTCATCTCTCTCTCTCTCTATCTATCATCTATCTCTCTCTTGAACAGGCCAAGCTGTTTCGGATCTTTCAACAAGTCTTCAGCGTGGAACGTGACGCCCATCAGGAGGAGCTGCGCCGGCTGGGCATCTATGTGGTCCGCAAATTTGTCGAAGTGGCACCAACTAATCCAAAAATCTATGCAGAGTTATTATTTTACAAGACCGTACGGGAGGCCAACGAGCTCGAGACGGGCTATTGTGATGCCTATGAAGCGTGAGTAGTGGTGGACTAGATGGGCGGGCCGAAGGGGCGAAAGGCCAAAGCCGGAGCAAAGGGCCAAAGGGGCACTGGGGACTCTGGCTTGGTGGCACTGTCACATTGGGGTTAAAGGCCCATCAGCACAATGGGCACATGATTGACTGAGTCGTTGGCTGAGGCTGTCTGCGCCTGTCGTTTAGCTGCTGCGACTAGTTTCAGTAGTCAGCCTGGCTGGGAGGGGGCTGGGGACTGGGGGGCTGGCAACCGTTGATAAATGATGCTGGGCGTCCAGTTTGAAGAACTTGTTCTGTAGCCTTCCATTCATTTCGGTCTTTGCAGCGGCACCAAGGGCGCCTGGAGCGAGGAGCAGGAGATGGAGCTGCGCTTCCTATTCGAGGAGAATCAACGGAATCCCGAAACCGATAAGGGTAACTATGACAAATACTCGACTAGGGGCCACAACTGCCCCAGCCTGTAAATTAAAACCCAATTTACGCTAAATGAATGAAAGCAATCAAAACGTTCGTGGCACAAGAGCGGGACACAAAAAGACAGCCAAACAGAACACAAAATTGAATAGTCGCCTGCCTGTTGGCGAAGGATAAATACCCTTGATGATGTGTGAGAGGAACAAAAGATGAAAATTTCTTATACAGAGAGACGAATATGTTGAGATAGCTTAACAAATCAAGACTTAGCAAATTTTATTTAAATATTTCGTTGATGTAGCAAACTTTGACCTAAGCGAAAAGTCTTAGTCAAGATTTCTATAAGAGATAGATAGATAATATGAGAGTATTACTATAAGCTATAGTCCATATCCATATTCTATATATGTATATCTCCTTTGTTATATTCTCTTCACTATGTAGAGAAATAAGAAAAGGTAACTTCTTGACCTATATAAAAATGTATTTGGATTTACAGCAAAACTACTCTTGACATGGATAAAGCCCTATACAATGACAGCTGAATGTCTAGAGATCTAGACATCTATGACTTTGTTAAAATATATAAATACATATGTTTATACAACATTTCATTTCTCATCAGTAAGCCAACAGACCTCAACTAGAGTATATAGATAAAAAAAAGAAATAGAAAACAGAAACCAGTTAACACCACAAAAAAGCAGAGCAACAGCTTTAATCAAGTCGAGTGTGCGTGTGTGCTTTGTGTTCTTTCAGATGTGATTGATTGGATTCTGGACAATTTGGTAGACAAGACACGCACACGACGCGGCGTGCTAAAGAAACTGAAGGAGCTGGGGCTGCTGTTCAAGGCGCCCACAAAGCGATCGACGAAGGCGGCGCTGGGTGGCAAGAACCTGTGGCAGCCGGAGGAGGATGAGGAGCTGAGCGGCCTATACGATCAGCATCGCCTGGAGCCAGGTGCGCCATTTCCTGCCTCCCACTTGCAATTAAAAGTTAACCTTGTCTCTCTACACAGACTGCCTGCAGCGCATTGTGGATGCGTTTGGGGAGCGACGGAACAAGCAGCAGATACTGAAGCGAATGGTGCAGCTGCATCTGATTGCGGACAAGTCGGAGATACTGCCAGCCAAGGCGAGCAAGGGCAAGGGCAAGCGAAAGCAAGCTAAACAGAAGGAGGGCGGCAAAAGTGACGAGGAGTCGGAGCAGGAGGATTACATGGAGGAGCCGACATTTGGCGAGCCACTGCCTAGGTCAAAGGCCAAGTCCAAGTCCAAGCCACGGGCTCGTGTGCGCACGCCCTTGGATGTAGGCACGGTGCGCGCTCTGATCGCCCAGGTGGATGCGGAGGCGCTGGACTGGCTCAGGGAGTGCCTGGAAGATGCCAGCGAGGATGCTGAAGAGGCGGGCGAGGACGACGACGGTGTGCCGCTGCTGCCGCTGCTCGATAGCCAAAAGGCTGCCATGGAGCAGGCAGACTTTCAGAAGGTACTCGTTGCCCTGGGCATGCAGCCGCCCATTGTGGGCATGGAGAACTATTGGCGCATACCCAGCTATCTCAATGCGGCAGATCTGAAGATGCGCGCCAAGATTGTAGCCGGCGAGGAGGTCGAGCCCGACAACGACAGCGAGGAGGAGTCCCAGCCAGCGGGCGACAGCGAGCAGGAGGAGGAGGAGGAGGAGGACTACTTGGATAAGCGCAGCCGAGAGCGCCAGCAGGCGGCGGCTCAGAATATATCAGTTCAGCAACAACAACAGCGCAAGCTGGACAGCCTGACGTTCAACAAAAGCGACGACGAGGCCGAGCAGCGCGAGCCGCCAGCAAGGGCCAAGGGCAAGCGCGCCAAGAAGGGCAAAGCGAAGGCTAAGCTGCAACAAAAGGACTCCTCGGACGAGGAGGAAGTCAATGAAATAGCGCGCAAATTGGCACGCAGAAGGCGACAGCCTGATGTGTCCAGCGAGGAGTCCGATGCAGAGCAGGAGACACAACGGATAGCTCAAACGGTGCGGGAGAAGGAGCAGGAGCAGGAGCAGAAGCTGGAGCTGGCTGGCAAGCCAAACACGGATGATTTATTTGAACAATTGAAAGCTAAACGCGCCACTAAAATCAAATTGAAGGATATGGTTCTCGATGAGGCGAGCGAGCCGGCAACAGATGGGCAGGAGCCGGACGAGCAGGATGATGCACTCGAGTTCAATTCGGAGGGCTTTAGGGCGCGGCTGCTAGAGCTCGAAGAGGAGGAGCAAGGGCAGGAGCAAGAGCAGGAGCAAGAGCAGCCAGCCGAGTCGGAGCATGACAAAGAGAATGCCACATTGCAGGCGAATAACACAATCAAGGCAAACTCCTCTGCCTCCGCCTCCGTGAGTGTCGCCTCGTCGTCCTTGCAGCGCACACGTCGTGCTAATGTAATTGACTCGGATAGCGACAACGATGATGATGCTGGCGCCATGCCTGCTTACAAGACAAACAAACGCCCACGCAGCGACAATGAGCAGGAGGATGGACAACGACGCGATGAGCCCGACACCGACGACGAGGATATCAATTTTCTGGCACGCAAGAAGCCAGCCAGCACCGAGCCGGCCAAGCGACGTCGTCTGGCCATCATCGATGACGACGACGACGACGAATAATGATTTCTAGAATGTAATTAACTTAGAACTCTGATTTTGCTATTGAATAAATGTCACACTGCAGCTTGCATAACGCGCTGCGAATTAATTGAAATTGTTGTTCCCCCTCCTCAATGTGCACTCAATACTCAGCTAACCAGCTGCAGAGATGGCCAATTGAACAGTTACGACTTGATTGGCATATTGCATTCCATACTACATACATATATGGACATTGATTAGAAACGATGAACAATGTGAATGTCAGCAACAAAGGCTAATGAAGGTTACCAAATTAGAGCGGGGGGAGAGGGGAGCGGGAGTGTGAACCAATTGAAAGCTCAGATGCAATAATGGCACAACTGTTACTATGATTATGTAATGAACCTAGAGGATAAATACAAAAGTGTTGCATTAACTTGCTAAACCTTGGCTTTATGATTCGTGATATTGTAGATCGGAGCCCAACGTTGATCTCGGTGAATCGTGAATTCCAGATATATAGATTGGGAAAGTGTGTGCAATAGGCGGAAGAAGGCATGGCATGCCCAAGTAGAGTAGAAACCGGTTGTAACGACGTTCAAGGGACCGTCGGTATACCCGGAAGACGCTACAAGCGTATACGTTTGCTCATATAAGCTTGTCTGAGGATCAGGATTTTCGTCGCAATCATCGTGCGGTCTAGGCGGAGTCGTTATAACCGCACTCTACTGTATTTATAATCTTGATCAGTGCGAGGAGCTATATATGCTTCTATTCACTCGTCTGTCTCTGAGACTCTTCATCTGTTCATCTGTTTGTCCATTCTTCGATGCTTCTGTCTGTCTGTTTCTCCACCCAACCTGATAAAAGAGGGCGTGGCAGACTGCATATGGTATATATATTCTTGATCAGGACTGAGAGCTCTCTGTACTTCTATTTGTCAAGTTGTGTCTTCCATTGTCTGATTGTCCTTCCGTCGATCCATTCATCTATCCAGACGTTTGTTTATTTTCCCTTCCTTTCGTTGAGTCATTCGTCCTTCCTTTCGTCAATGAATTCGTTCGTCCTTCCATTTACTGTTGTAATTCCTATAAATAACACAAACATTTCGTATAATCCTTCCCGTTTGACATTGCTTAAAAATTGAGATTGTTAATGGGCTGAAGACTTTAGCATCCACATTGTAAATACGCGTATATAAATATATATTTCTATAATAACTGATTTCATCACTTATTTATACATTCATGCCAAGAACAGCTCAGTTCAGATGTCAACTCTTTCTGCTTTTTCGAGCTCATTCATTTTTGGGCCTTGCCAATGACAGTGGCAGCAGTGAGTTTTTATGGTGCGAGGTAACACACTTTGTTGGGATGTTTGAGAATGCGGCAGACACAATGACACACACACACACACACCTGTCCAGTGCAGGTGCTGCTGAGCAGGTTACAAAAGTCACTCAACAGCCTGCGGTTCAAGCTGTCTGCCAGTTAAAGGATATGTGACATTTGGCTTCAACTCGTCTCGCTATGCCGCTCACTCTCTTTGTCTCTCTCTCTCTCTCTCTCTTTCTCTATATCTCTCTCTTTGTATCTTTGCCTCTGTCTCTAGCTCTGTAATGTTAGCTTACAATTTGTAGAGCTCCATTGTGTGGACGCCTCGAACGTAGCCATAGGCAGGACATTCAGCAAAGTCTTTTGTGGGAGCGCGTCTGTATGTCGGCTAATTTGGTGGCTTTTGTTGATGCAACTGGCATTGCTGTTATTGTTCAGCTGCAGCAGTAGCACACTGCACACTGCACATTGCACATTGCATTGCATCCATTACTGTTCATGTCCAGCTTTCGTTTGGCCCGACACGGCTGCAGCATTCAAAATTTGTTGACCTCCCCTGGCCCGGAGCAGGAGGCGGAGACATTGTCCGGCACGGAGACAACAGGGCTGGCTGGCAGGGTTGAGGGCGTGGTAAGTCGTACTTAGTCGCATTGCATTGCAGCCACTGTAGATGATTGTCATTGCTGTTGTTGGGGTTACGCACTGTAAACGGCCTGCATTCCCATCATGCGTTTTTATTGCATTTCTCGACAGCACAACAACAGCAGCAACAACAACAACAACAATTCCGGCCTGAAAAATCATTGTGACAGTTCTCTTATCGAGCCAATTTTTGCTGCAAATGGGAATATCGTGTATTGCTTGTGGAGAGATAGAAGGATTGTAAAATAAAGATCCAATTAGGCAGCATCACTCAAAGCCCATAGAAAGTGAGACTGAAAATGTGAAATACTTTCTCTGGCTTCGTCTACTGCAAAAAGATTTCAATTACTTTGTAGCATAAACTAAACTCTCTCACTCTCTGCCTCTCCCTTTCTCTCTCTCTTTCTCTCTCTATTCATAATTCAAAACTTCATCAGCTTTCAGACGACTCTGCCTCTTGTGTGCACTCGCTCGTCGCTTGGCCAATGTGGCGTATGCGTAATGAAATGCATATCGCGTTAAGCACGTGCATAAATTGTGGCATGCATAATGCCAACGTTACAAGCTCATCTATGGCCCGGCATAAATCAGGTGCCCAGACAACGTCACCTGTCAGACAGCTCATCGTCGTCGTCGTCGTCGTCGTCGTCGCCTCGTCGCTGGCCTAAGCACTTAATTTATTTGGATGCGAAATTAAAAAAGTACACGCAAGACACAAAAATGGCTGCACACACACACACACACACACACACTGGCACATATGTACACCTACATCCCCCGCCACGCCCATTCAGTCACTTTATTAATTTCAAGATGGCGCACACTCAATTTAAAAAGGACGACGCGACGCAACTCATAATTTATTTCATTAATTTAATCAACATCAACGCACATGTCAACTGCAGAGTGTATAGGTGTATGTGTATGTGTGTGTGTGTGTGTGCCACACCTTTTTATCTCTCGGCCTATCTGAGCAAAAAAAAAAAGTAGCAACAAAAACAAGTTTATGTTTAAAATCGCTTAATACATCGTAAATTATGTTGAACTCAGCTGCAGCGGTGTGGATTGCGAGAGGGGGGTGGGTGGCGGCTGGCAAGTGGGCGGGCGGCCATACAAAAGGCCACGCGGCAAGCTGAAGTTGACAGCAGGCGAACGCGGTAACTGCCTCAGTCAACTCGATTATCAAGTCTTGAGCTGATTTTCTTCTCCTTTTTTTCGCTCTCCCCCAGCCAGCCAGCCAGCAGCCCGAGTTCATTAAGCACAGCAAAGCTGCATGTGTGTGTGTGTGTGTGTGTGGATAAACTGTAACTGCTTTCATTAGGCCAACAAGCAGAGCAGGGCTAAAAGAGTTATAGCCGGGCTTTTCACACGCGCCCTAACGATGCGCTCATCATTAGAACAAAAGGCCGTCAGAGATCTCAATGGCAAACAGCGAAAGGATTAACCTAATCTGAGGACTATAAAAGCGAGTTTATATCAACATACACACACACTCGCACACGCACACAGACGTACACGTACACTCAATGAGTTGGATACACAGTGAAATGTGCAGAAAAAATATGCGATTTTTCGTCATAAAGCACATTGAGTATGAAAAGAAGCAGAGTAAAAGTAGATGGAGAGAGAAGTAGAAGAAGAGGTAGTGGCAGAGGCAGAGGCAGAGGTAGAGGAAGAAACAGAAGTAGGAGCAGAAGCAGAGGCGTTTCAGGACATTCGCATATGCAGAAGATGGCGCTATTTGATGAGTTTGTCTTTGTCTCCATTTGGGTGTGTATGTGTGTGTGTGTGACTGTTTTTGTATGCCAGCGGCACATGTTTTTCTAACAATCACACAATGTTTATACAACAGAACTTTTTACACGCTACCCAAAGTCAAAGCAGAGCTCAAATTGAAGCAGATTTGGGCAAAGACAAAAAGCGTCTTTGACGTGCGATAAGCATTGAGAGAGAGAGTGAGAGATGGAGACAGAGCGCTAACGAAAACACTTGTCTGCGAGAAAAAAACAAAAAAATATATATAACAACAACCTTTGCCGACTTTGTGCAGTGACAAAAAAAAAAAAAAAAAAAAAAAAAAAAAAAAAAAAATAAAATAAATATGTTTACCGCCTTCGCAGCCAAATCAAAGTAAAACAAAGACAGATAAAATCAGATTTTTTTCTCAAGTGTTAAAAACTGAAATCCGTGCGGAATTGAGCAGAATGAACAACTACAAAGTTGCTTTGTAACTATCTAGAGTTAACTTAATTAAAATGTTGCAGAGCGTGTGAAGAATATAAACAAAGTTAGCTCGATTTAACTGAAATTTGATAAAGCCAATGTTCTACGTATATAAACAGACAATACACAGGGAATATGAATATGAATAGTCTTTGCAAATATGTTTGGATGGTATAGTTGAGGGCTTATTATTTATTTTCCGCATTCTAAATTCAATTTTTGTACATTCGCAATTGGTTCACTTATTACAGGAAATATATTAAAGATATCGGAAATATATCGATATTTTGGCAAACAACATTTTCTGACATAAATATATTTTTTGTTGAAAAACATATCGATATATGCATGTTTTGATATATTTTCAGCAACCCTAATAGATATACTCCTATGTAAATATATATATGGAGCAAATCTGAGGCTACCAGATCTCTTGGCTATAGTTCAAAAACGCCTAGTCAGGCATTATGGATGAGAATATACTATCTCGAGGTATTGAGGAATGATTTTCAATTTATCAAAATTCTTGCGCTTCAAGTTGCCCCATCGACACCTCAAGCTCTGCTATCCCAGAAATCTTTAGCAGCCTTGAATCTCAGCAAATATCATGAATATATTCTTTGCGATATGCAGTATTTTATTTGAATTTTTTTTTATATGAAAAATCAATCCATGAACCATAATTCAAATGTATTCTTTAATTATATACAATAGTTATAAAAATAAATGAATATTTTCAGTGACTTCCCAGAATGGATTTTAAGCTCTATCCCTCAGCTGCTTTAAGTAGGCTCGAAGTGGGTTTGCACTCTCTTAGAAATTGGCTTTAAATACAAATTTGTTTAGTTTCCCTTTTTTTTCTAGCACCCTGGAAGTCTAATTCTTTGAAGCGGCTTAAGCAACATTTTGTGGACGTTTTCTGTTAGGGCTGTGA